CCTGTTAAGGAAGGGCATTGAATGATGTATGCAAATAACTGGTATTGGTAATATTTTATTGACATGTATGTAACATGTGAGTAGTTAATTACTGACTTATGACAGGAAATTAACTGACTACCTGATGGTGGTGGTAAATTTATTTATTTGTTGACGATTGTTATGTTGTATATCATTTTAATAATTTCTTTCCCTCTTCAACTCTCTCTAGGATTACCACACTTCACAAATGATTTGTGTTGTTTAACAGTGTGTTGAACCATACCAACTCACAATGATAATTAACACTATTGCAGCCCTATTCATTCAGAGGCAAATCCAATACTATACTTATTCATCAGAGTATGCATCATTTCAATGGTATTTGCTGGTAGTACTTTGAATCATTCTATATTTATATCAAAATGACATGGCAGTGCTTATTCAGATGTAAGCTGTCACCAGTTGGTAGTCGTGAAAAGCTAGAAGAGTGCAATATATCAGGAAAATGTGCTATATAAATATCACATCTGAACTTATCTGTGAAATTATTTTAGATTATTTATACTCATTACCTTATTGCATTCTTTCTGATCAAACAGTAAAAGGTTGGTCTGAATTTGGACAGCCATTTACTAGTTATTAATATAAACACATTTGAATATGATGTTATACATTAAACAGGAGTTTAGTTCAGGTAGTGATAGTAGATGTTTTTCTGTTGTTTTTTTCATGGGTGTCTACTTGTAACTGTATAGTGTCAGAACAGGAAATTTTTGAGTGAGGTGTAAAATGAGTGTAATTAAATCATAAGTGTTATATAAAGGGAGTTAAGGAAATATGGGAGGTTGGTTACAAATATGTTGAAGAAAAGATATTCTATAAATGTATTGTGTTTTTAATAAGGTGAATATTTTAAAGTTTTAAAAAATCGTGTTATAAGGGGAATAATGTCTTGTGTAGCATATTTGCAGAAAGCCTGACTGTTTTTATTAAACAGTGTTTATTAGTTAACTGATATTGTTAAAACCTAACTTACAGTAAAGTTATGTAATGATGTGTTCTAAATTTAATTAATTAAACTTTAAATGTAATGATGGGACTGCTCAGTTAATGTATTTTTATTATTTGTAATCACATCTTGTTGGTACAGACAACTTTTTTTAAACTGCTATCCTAGTGAATGAAACTTTAGATTTAATATTATATTTAAGTTATGTAATTCCCACAATGTTAAAAAATTAATGTAATTTTGTTGATAGATACTGTGTTGTATTTATAATTTAGGTGGATTTTGACTTCAGCAAACCTTAGTTATGTAGAAATTCTATTATAGTGTGGGTATCATTCATGTCCACAGATGCACATATTCATTTTGTATTTGTGCTATACAGTAAAGCTTAAATGAATATTGAGACTGCTGGGTGCCTTGAGAATAGTGATTTTTATCTGCCCCTCCAGACAAATTCCAGGATAGTAACGTAAATTAGACCATGACTCTTTCCTTCCACATCCTTCACAATTAATTATCCATTAATCATCCTGTTCATTACTACTGAGTTACTGACAGCATCATTAAATAAACCATAAATAAATAGTCTGTCTTATGTTGTAATGCAGATGTAGGGGCGGTGAAAATACTAAACCAGCAAGGAACTTCACTATATCCAATGCTTCCTCACTTGAGCGACGTGTCAGGAAAGAATTGGAAGATCAAGGCATTCTGGACAGTTCTGAGCAGAAAGAACAAGCTGATGATGAAATTCTAACAGAACTTAAAAGATGTCAGACAGAACTAAAGGTGAGCATTTGCCTTCTTTCAACCAACTTCTGTTATTTATATCCCAAGGACACCATTGCTATTTCTCAGTGAGAAGGGGAGTAACTGCATGAAAAGGCTTGTGATACAAATCTTAGCAAATGGTGAGAACAAAAAACATTAGTTAAAATGCTTTATAGGTTATGTTGTATAGTTTAGTAGTTATTCATAATAAAAGATTTGCTTGAGTATGTCCTTGCCTAATTTTAAAATGAGCTAATTGATTTTCTTACAAAATAAAAACACAGCTTCTAGTCCCATGGTTTAAAAATACATGTAGTTTTCCCACTCCTGTTATAGTCATTCCTTGTGTGTTGCTTAAGCATAGGGTACTAACCTTTTAAGACTATAAGTATTAAATTTCATTGTTAATTCATTACTAGTGAATTGTAGTGGTTGTTAAGCAAGGGATGCAGTTTGTATTATTTGAATTGGTGGATCACATCTTACAGTGTTTTCATAAACATGTGTTTGAAGAGAAAATATTACAATTTTTTTGTGATGTTGAAGGTTATATCAAACCACAACATTCATCAACTGAAACGCCTGAGGAAACTTGCGTGTGATGAAATGTCTCGGCAGGAACTGAAAAGGAGACTGCAGCTAGCTGATAATGATGTTCTTGACATCTACAGAAAGATAATGGCATCAAAACAGAAAAAGAAGCCACCAACAAAAGAGGAAATGGATCTAGCTTGGAAAAGTTTGAAAGATAGGGAATTACTGCTTAGACAGATTGACAATATGTAAATCAGTTTCTGTATATTGTATATATGCTTTAATAATGGTTTTCAAAGTCCAAAATGTGCTTTATTTGGTAAGTTGTTGCAGTAATAGATCCAGATCATCCAGGTGAGTACACATAGTCCATGCTGCTATGATCTTCACATTTGAATAATAAATACCTGATATTTCTGTCTACTTTATTCACTAATGTGGATATACAGTAGGCTAATGGCCTCCTTTTTAAATGTAATCTGTTTGTACTTTAAATAAAATATTTTTAACAAAAGCTTATTATTTTGGATTCATATCATCTTGCCTGTCTTCTTGCATTTTTTGTGTTCAAGAGTGTGGATTGGATTCGCCAGATTCGGAAGGGACTTTGGTGATGGTCCTTGTGAACATAGTAATGAACCTTTAGATTCCACAAGAGATGAGCAATTTCTTAATAAATGGGTATACCAATGGCGATTTCTCTTGATACATCTGAAATTCTGTATTTTCAGTGTTCAATCTGATTGAAAACTTTTGTGTTTCAATGGTTGAAACCCTCTATAGGTCTAACAATAAAACCCAAAATATCAGCCTTGGTATCAAAGATGAAGGATATCTGATTTGATTTTGTGTCTTTGATCTTTATAGATCTTCATATATTTTTATTGTTACAGATAAATAATTTATTTAGAAGTTACATTTTGTTTTTCAAATGTTAACTGAAACTGTGGTACATATGTTTTTGCAACTGTGGCTGCTTGGATTTTTTTGTTTCTTAAATTGTAGTTTATAACCAACTTGAATATTTATAATTTTTTACTTTATAGGCCTATAACAGCCAGAGGGATGGAAGAAATTATCAAAACTCTAATTCTAGTGTTAGAAAGTCCTTTGTATTATGATGGGACATTATTATTTAGAATTACTGTTTAGCAGGTGTGACTTTGTTTCTATTCCAAAGAAATTAGGATGGCAAAAGAACCCTAGTCTAACTTGTTTTCCTTTTTTTTTGTGTGTGTGTCTTTTTCTTTTCATCACACAGGTATTCCTTTTACAGTTGGGAGGGGTGTAAAATATAATGAAGTCATGTAATTTTTTTCCCTGCTAATAAATGTTGCATGATAGTTGCAGATTATTTATCATGTGTCATGCTTCATGGCGACGAAGTTAGATGATAAAAATTAATAGTGATTTCCCAGGATTGATGGCATCATCTAGGTTATTTTATAACTTGTTTGAAGTGGCTGAGGAAATTCTTGGAAACGTTATGCTACCTAGATATGGGACTTGGCACACGGACTTAATATGAGGCAGGCCTACCCACGCTTCAGGTACTTCAAAACATACCTTTTTGGCAAAAGGAATTTATATAATCTCTCCCTGCACACGTTTTAAAGAATTGTGAAATCTGAGGGCGGGAATTATTTTATTTTTAAGTGGTAACGCAACGGTAACTGCAGAGTCATCTGTGACCAGTCTTTTAAATTGACGTAATATGTCACGGTAGAAAACGTAGAACATGTGATTTGAAGCTGGATTATTGATTTCATGTACGTTTGTATTTTGGTCATATTACAACCTCTGAACTGTTCGTACTGTTCAGTTCTCAGAGTAACTAACATCATAATTTTTTTTTACAAAATATTCACTAAAATCAAATTCGACTTTGGATTTACTTATAAGGCTTTGGTCTAAAGAAGCTTTAACCAATCATAACTATAAATCCAATTACGAAATGTTTATGCCAGGCAAAAATCGATATTTCAGCCGAATCAGTGCTTATAAGCAAGCAACTTCCCAAATAACATATGCCAACGGCCTTATGGGTAGTAATGGGGTTGAGAAGTTAACAATTTCAAAAATGGGACGTTGCTTATTTTAAAACCAAGAAATAAATTATAGACCTTTGAATAATACATTACAGAACAGGCATTATTTTATTTTATTACGATTGGTAGCATACAATTTTGTACGTAGTGTGAAGTAGGGTGGTTGACCATTGGTCATTTATAATTTGAAAGACAAAAAATAGACCTGTATATTGGCAACTAATTTCAGCCTCCTTCTCATACATAGTAATTAACGCCACAAAATATACTTTTAAAATATTGTTTGAATTATTGATATTTTACAATTGTGATTCATACTTCCTGTTTTATAATACATATCATAGATAATAATTCAATTTTAACAGCTTTAGCTCGGAGTCAAATCTCGAGGCGGGAATTTAACGCTATCTGTGCCAACGCGATTGAACTACCTTCTTGCGAAGCCGTCATTGTGTACAGTGGAGGTAAGGAGTGATTTAATTTAGTCGGTTTACATTTAATATTTCCTCTGAGGAATTTTCTACAGTTATTTTAAAAACAGTGTCATATAGATAATTTTTGAAGTGAAATTTTGGTGTATTTTATTTGTCTTGGTGTGAAGTGAGTGGAAAGTAAAAATTGTAAGAGTGTATATTCCGTCCAGATTCCGGGTCTGAAATACAGGGATATGGCGTCTAGTGAGATCGAAGAGCCGTAGCTAGGCGGCAAGCCAGAAGCTAGGCAGAGAATTTTACTGGAGATTCCGATCACGTCTTTAATTTTATTTGGGGCTTTGAAGATGATATTAAGTTAATAAACACACGTAAGATGTTTAATATTTTTTGTTTACTGGTCCTTTAGGGATAATTTGTCTGTTTATGCGTTCTAAAAATAGAGAAAAATTTATGAGGACCGAACTCGTTATTTTCCTTGAAAGATGGGTTCGATTTGAAAATGGCGGGCGCGGAACTTCGGTTATTTTATGAATAGTATCGGTTATAAATGTTCATTAAAAATTACGCAGCAGAACAATTAAGATATGATTTGAGTCCATTTTGACGTTCTATTGCTTGGTTGTTTCGGACCATATTCATAGAACATGGCGTTATTGTAATATAACAGTTTGGTGTCATGTAATATGATTAATTTTTGGAGACTGGCAGTTGTGTGAAAATAGTGGTGATTTGAGAGGAACGTGAAGTATAACTAATATATATGCAAGTGCATATTTATTTTACGTATATAACAATTTTCGTAAGTTTGAAATTTTTAGTGAAGTATCATCTCTAGGAAATGTTTGTACTATCGGTTTCTTGGCCATATGCTGTGTCTTGTACGAAATGTAGTGCCTTGTACCGTGATTTTATATTCGACCTGTATTCAGTGTGTAGAAGGCCTAAAGAATTCAGTACATTAATACATGGACTATCTGCAAAATATTTGGGAACATGAAATAAATTCTGAAGCGAAATTGCTGGTACCAGTGTAAAGAGGTGTGAGTTATATTTTGTGAGAAAAACATTTTTTGTTCTCTTGAATCAGATGTATTTATTTATAACAAAATTGTACAAATGTGCTTGCACAGTTTACATAACTTGCTATTTTTGCAATATTTCAGTTAATATGAAATAATGTATGATTTAAAACTTTCATGTCTAATTAAATTAATAAAGTCCTCTTGGGCTATAAGCTGTGTCAGATGATAAAAATTTGCTGATTCAGAGACCATTTCTGTCCTTGTTATGAAGGTATTTGATCAGATGGTTCCTGAAATGGCTGAACATAACATACTTATCTGCTCGCATGTGGTGAGTGATTTTTTTTAAAATTCATATTCTTTTTTGATTACTGTACATTAAATTTGTAACTGGTATGGGTATGAGGGCCCTTGTTAATATAACACTGACATGTTTGAACATTGGGATGAAGAAAAGATAAGTATGATTTGCTTTTTTTAGTTTTATTGTTGATTCGCTGAATGATTCATCATTTGCTTTAGCTTTATCATACAGCAGCAGTGGATTTAAAAGTCTGTATTATGGCACTACTAACCATACTTTAACTTTTGTTTAACAGTTTAGTGGTAAACTACTGTGATGCATGGTTAGCTGGACTGCCTCCACAAACCATGTAAAAAACATATCTTATGTTCATTTTAGAGTTTAAATAATTTGGTTAAAATGTTATTTTGTTTTTTGGGTTTGTAGCCACATACTTGAGTGTCTGGTACAGTGTCAGTTACTGGCATCATGTCTGACAATGAGGCACCAGCTCAGGAGGAGACCAAGAGGAAACGTGGTCGACCAGCCAAGGCCGGTGGAGAAGTCAAAGTGAGAAAATTTTATCAATAATGTGTCTTGCATGGAGGGTTTAACAAGATAGGTGTGTATAAAGTGAAGCTTTCGCTGTGACAAAAGTTTATGAAAGACTCTCGGACTACAAGCCACGTCATGTGGCTGAATGGTGAATACACCATATCCTATGCCAACGTTTCGAGAGCCATCTCTGCTCTCATCCTCAGCTGCGTAACAAACTGGTCCTCTGTAGTGTGCTCGCTGATGGGAACTGGCGATGGACGGCAGGTAGTAGCATGGTGTTGCTGGTGGCCTGTCCGTTGCAAAACAAAGAAGTATTTTGCTGTCCAAGAAGCAAAAACTTAAAATGTATCCAGTTTATTGTATTGATTGAAACACTGTTAAGTTGCAGATCTATATAGTTGCCGTATTGCATAGTTATGAGGCACTGAGGAGTTGGTTTATGTGCTGTAGGAGTTACCAGGAAAGGAGGTGAAAAAGCGTGGGAGGCCAGGGAATGAAGAGAAGAAAGAAGTGAAAAAGGCTGATGGTGCTTCCCCTGCCAAAAGAGGGCGAGGAAGACCAAAGGGCTCAACAAAGAAGAAGGGGAAGGCTGCTGCTAAGGTATGTTTATGATGTTCTGTTGCAGTTCTGCAGTTTGACATAGCATGTTGTCGGTCAGATGGAAGTTTATGTTTTTACAAATATAGTAAAATTTGCTTTTAGTGACTTTGTAATACAGCCATTAATAAGCAGTTTGATAATACAGGTATATCCCAGTTCTCATTGGAGAAACATTCCAGAAAAGAAGAATGTATGAAGAAGCAATTTTTTCCGTAATGTAATTTATTGGAATGCATTGATATTGAATTTTTTTCTCTATACATTTTGACCATTGTTGACTGTGCGTCATAGTTTATATTTGACCCAGTTGTCCATGCATTGCTCTAACACATCGCTTACCTCAGAGTTAAAGTCCACCAGCCATCTGTGGCTTGAAAACTGCTCAGTCAACCAGATTCAACAGAATAGATGTCTTCCCCCTCTTTTTTACCTGAAGACAAAGGAGGATCCACTCTTCAAAATATATTGATATTTAATTTTTTCTGATTTTTAAGACTTTTAAAAACTAGACAGTGGCATTATTCTTAAGAGGGAAAACAATGTGTATTGATTTTCATTGTAAACCTCAAAATGATTTATATTCTAGGCAGAAGTAATTAATCAGCATTGTCTGGTGTGTAGAAGAACAGTTCAGGTGCACATACGTAATATTTTGAGCTTTGCTGGTGTAACTTGACAGCAGTTATCTTTTAGTGCTAAAGATTTCTTGCAAACAAACTATATATTTATGTGGAGTCTTGCATTTTTGTTGGTGCAGTGAGGTAGTTAAATAGGACCCTGAAGTGGTTGTAATTAACTTTAAGTGGTTAATTTGCAGTACCAGAAGAAAATGTAGAAGATGAAGGAACTTTGAGACGTAATGTCAGTATTGTGCACGTGTTGGGCACTGCTGCCTATATTATTACACTCTTCATCCATCTCATGAGTTGTCGAGTTGTTGGTAACTGGTATTTTTCGTCTTTACACTTCTAGGACTAACTTTGTGTTTGGCTGTTTCACCTCTTGCTTCCAGGCCAGTTAACGAAAACAGAATTTTACAGGTAGAACCATAATTCTTGAACTATTCCACACATGTCTAAGAAAACCTACTGTAATACTGTGTCTGTGGGCACATAACAGCAAGTGGTGTCACGTGCAATGATGTTATAGTGGACCTCAGAGTGTCAATTGTACTGAGTAATTCTGAAGAATTTAATTGCAAGGTTCACAGGTATATGCTGTTACGTGAACAGTCCATAATGCTGTGATTGCCTTGCATCTAAGAGGAAGCCAATTAGCCATGGGAACGCTGGGTGGTGGATTGAGAGTCGTTGAGGATGCTCCAGGGAAATTGCCCTGTTATTTAGGCAGGAGTCACAACTTAATGATGGGAGCTTCTGACAGGCGATAATCAGTAAATCTTGAAGAATGCACAACAGTAAATGTTGTAATTATTGTCTGGTTGAGCAGAAGTCTGCAGGAAGCACTGGGAGGGGCCGTGGTCGTCCCAGGAAGGAAGAGAAGAAGGTAGAGTCAGCAGGTGAGGATGAGGAGGAGGAGGAAGAAGAGGAGGAGGAGGAAGAGGGAGAAGACTAAACACAACCATCATCATGATTGGGAACCCAGACTTTATATAACCTGTAAAAAAGTGTCTTCATCATTTTAACATGTATTGTACGAAGATAATGTCTGCAGAGGGTTAATGCTTGGCTTTTATGTAGTGTGGCAGTTGCCAGATTGATGTTTCTTTTAGAGTGGTTTTCTGCTTTGTGCTGAATCCACTTGGAATATCAACTGCACAGGTTACAGTTCACATTGGATGACTGTTTTTCACTGTTTTAGTGTGTATGTAGGGTGTGATTGCCCTGATTTGTTCTTGAGTTTTTCATAATTGAATGAATTGTGTAACTGGAAAGGGGGAAATGATGCAAGGCCCTCTGCTGTTATTTATTTTTTGTGTATGTTTATACTATTTATCAGATTTTGTAATGCGGTGTTACAGTAATATAGCTGCTCATAGTATAAATGGTGAAAATTCTTCATAGTTGCTAAAATACTTTCAGGAATAGCAGCATTTTATTCTCTAAGGATTCTGGCTTCTAGAATGCACAAACTCTGCTAGCATTTGTTCACACCAGTACCTTTTTGGACTTTTACACAACAAATTCAGTTTTGTGTTTTTTTAGCATTTTCACTGCTGCTGTGTCAGGAAATAGGTTATGCTTTAGTCAGCTGTAACTGAAGCTGGTGTTCTCTGCTTTGTTTATGACTATCAGTGTATGTAGCCCTGGGCTCATATTCTGCAAATTTTTGACATACAGGATCCTGTGTGGTGCCATGTTGAAGAACATCATTTGTTGTTGATTAGCAGTGCTTCATATCAACAAAATATTGGAAATTCTGATGCTGTAATAACAAAAGCAAATCTAGTATCATGGCACATGATCCTTTCTAAAAGATACAAGTTTTCATTGCTTACAGTAGTAGAGCAAAGGCATGCATTAACACGCATTTACAACTATGAAAATCTACTGACAAGATGATACTATGACAATTTATTGCTTCATGTTTGAACTTGTAATGGCAGGTATGTCATCGTTATTGCAGCATGTTATTAACACATTTTTGTATACAATTCCACTCATTACTTGTAACACTTCATCATTTATTCACCCTGAGGTGGATCACTACATGTCTGAGTTTTCTTTTAGAAATCACTTATTAAATGGAATATTTTCTGGGTATTTGTATAATTTACCAGTTAAGGAACTTGAAGATCTTGGTAGCCATGTGACTGAGGATAATGTATCTTTGTACAAAAATGCTGTTCTAATGACATCTTTCCAGAATATTCTTTTTTGAGGTTATATATATTTTAGAGTTCCCATTTATAAAACATTTGAGCAGCAGAAATCTCATTAATGTGTAATTGTCACATAAAATAAATATTTTACCAAAGCATTTGCTTTCAAGTACAATTGTAATATCAGTTAATTACAGGACTTAATTAAACATTATAAACATACAATCCTCCTTTTTCCAGGAAGCATACTGTTAATATTTGGAGCTTTGGTTGTATATCAGATGGTGAGGAACCTGTCTTGTGGTTTAAGCTAGTTGTGAAACTTGCACCATTTGGAGGGGGTTGAATTTTAATTTTCAACTTGGATCTTATTTATTGGAAAGGTACACTTGTGGGGAAATAAAAGGGACTTTCTGTTACTGATCCTCTTCTGTTTTGTTAGATGTATCCAAATAACTAGTCCTGCCTGATACATTAAAAGTTTGTGTTTGTTCTTGGGACCAAGGAAAGTTATCACAACCCTGAAAGTACTTGACACGTTGGCTCCCAGACATCTTTTACCGGGCATAAATTTCGTACCATGATCCACTTGTGACCCTGACTGTATACTGTTAAAAACATTCAGAATTCTTGTATGAACCATGTGACACTTGTAGCTCACAACAGACCTCATGCATCTTTCCTGTCTCAGCTGTGGTGTTAGAAATACATTGTTTCACTCCATGAAGACAGCCTCCAATAAATGACTTGCAGTATTAAAATCTATTCTCAGGTGACCCTCATGGGAACCAATATATTAATCGTGGAAGGAAAATCTTTGTGTTTCCTTCTGAGAGTACTTCAGCAATTAGACTTTTAAGCTGGAGTATTTTGTTCATTTTACCTTTATCACATGGGAATAGGGATTAATTCCCTGTAGTGTGGGGCTGCTGGCTGGTTTTCAACTCTGGGCTATTCACATAGCAGTATGCTAGCATTAAACAGATCAGCTATATTGTAAGCAAGGTGGTAGTCATGGATGACAAAGTTTTATAGATGGTATGTAAGCAGGAACCTGCAGGTTGTATTTTTATCAGCTGACTTATGTTAAAACAGCCAGACTTTTGTTAGTGGGACAATTTATTGTCATAGGATGATGGTAAAAACTACTGCCATGGATTGCTTAAATTTGCTATGTGCAGATAAGGAGCTATAATGGAGATCACCCTTCAGAAGTCTCATTTCTGGTATCTAGTATTCTCATTTCCTTGCTTGTTTCAATGCCATTTAAGTGGGCTGTTGATCCAATTATTCCATGTAGTATTGACAAGTCTTCAGTAAAGTTTCAAAGTAGTTCTTGGCTTGTGTGCCCATTTTAGGCATTTGTAACTTGTGTAAAAGTGCACCATAATTTAGTATTCTGGGATTTAGGAGACCCACAGGATGGTAGCTGCAAGGAGTTATGAAAATAGGGGACTGAGCTAATTGCCATTTGCATTGTATGACAGAACCCATGAAAGTGGTGAAACATGGAGTATTAGCACAGTAGATATGGTCCTGTTGCACTGTAACTCCATAGATTATTTCTGTAATAAAGGTTTGCGGTGGTGTAGCAGTCTGTTACATCTCATTTAACTCCTGAAGTGTGATCAGTGCCAGACACAGGCAAGTGATAAAGGAAATTCTTTTGCCACCCATCTTCATGATGGGGGTTTGTATGTTTATGAACAGCAAAATAAAATTACCCTGAATTTTTTTATGTGTATATGATATTTAAACTGCCTGAATCAATTGGAATGAGAGATTGTATTTTTAGATGTAACATGGCTCTGTTGAAAAATGATTACCTAATACCATGATGGAAAGATTGTTATGTGAGCCATTGCTACTATAATTATATCACATTTTTTTATGATATACTTTATATAGTGCTAAGGTATGATGAAGTCCTTTTCTGATAAAATAGAAGTATGTAAATGTTCATACTGTAATTTTAGGCCTCCAAATATTTAAAGCCTTGAGGAAGTATATTGGAGTACTCTGATCTAACATAGAAACCATATTTATATTGGAATAGTTATGGTATAGTTACATCTGATTTACCATCTGTTGTGGGCTTCATCATGTCTCCTTGTAGAGTAAGTGTTTACAATGACAGACAACAGTAATGTTAGCTTGTGCAAGAACTAATGTATATTTGCTGAAGTATAAGTGCAGAAGAGTTTAATAAGGTATGGTGAACAAATAGTAGGTTTAGATGTAGGAAGAGTTGCACTGCTAATTTGATAGTCATCAATTAAGTCTCAGCTGTTACAGTTCCTGTCAGTGATAACTGAAGATGTCACTGTAGCATGCAGTTCACTCAAATAGGTGTGTGTCTCTGAATTGTCATGTTCTAATTTTTTTCCACACCTTTTTAATTTGTCATACATAGTCACGTCAGAAAAAGATCTTAATTGAAGCACCATTTTTAATGTTTTCTTTTGTGTGATCTTTGGTAATAAATGTGAATGTTTTTAAAAGATGCCAAATTAGAAGTAGGTACTTTTTAAAACAAATTCCAAGAACTTCTTGACAAATGTGATGGTTTTGATTACTACATTTTCTTTTAATCACATCATGTTTATTTCAGTGCTGTGGAAAAATCTGTTCTTATTAAAAATACTTGGGAAACAGTTATATCAGAAATGTTAGAAAGGAAAGTTTGTATGTGTAATTATTGTATCATTGGATAAGATTAATCATTATTAGTATTCAATACAATGGATTTTTGTGCTAGCTGTACTTTTTAAATTCTGTTAAATATATGTTAATGTAGTAATCAGAATTAAAACTCTCAGAAGTAGATTATTCATCTTTAAGTAGGTCTGCAATATTAGTAAACCTGTGCGACACTGAAGAATAGAGGCCGTATGTTGTGAACAAAAGGAAAGTGGTGTTTATATGTATCACAATACCACTACAAGCACTACAATTTTTCCTTTTATAAATAAATGTTCAATTTAAGTAATGTGGCTTCACTTTTTTAACTTGCATTATTCACATTTCCCAAACGAAAAAGAATAAATTCCCAGTGAGCATATTTTACCATCTGTGTTTATAAAATTAATGTTTTCAAATCTTGTCATGATTTCTGATTTGATATTGCCTCCATCAGCAGATTGCTGTGATGTCTGCTGTGCATTATACGGTTTTGGTAGCCAGAAATAACAGCTGGTGTTGAAGAGGGACTTTCTATGCATTTAAACTTTTCTTTTTTTGGGGGGGGGGGAATGAGTTGGTGGTTATAGAGTAAATTAGATCGTTGCAACCATCTAATCGTTTAGTACGTTTGCTACCGCTGAAGATAGATGCCAGCATAATACATTTACATTTACGTAAGCTCGTGAAATACACCACGTGTATTGCCAACCTGTAGCACGTAAAATCACACTTGGTTTTATAACGATCAAGTTTTGAGTTTGTCTTACAAGCCATATCATGGATTCCAGTTTTTAAGGTTAGAATTGGAAGGCAAGCAATCTACTTTATTTTACAGGTTTCATAACTAATATTACTGACTTTATATAAGTAATGTGACATGCGTAGTATTCATATTGCTTAATCAACGATCGAAGTCTACTTTTGCACACATTGAATAGCTAAAGCAAACGAAATTAAATCGCTGTTCCTCATTGCAATGAACACACATCAGTCAGTCTAATGTTGATACAATCTGTGGTGAAATAGTTTCTCGTGTAATTATTATATCTAGCTATTTGTAATGGGTTAAAAAAGCAGTATATACAAGTACGTACGGGAATTTCTTTCCGAAGGTTGGGGGGGGAAGTGTACTTGTAATATGTATAACTTTAGCTTTCGGTTGAGAGCAAGTGTTTGGTGTTAAACGTCAGTTACCATTTTCATTGTGGATACTGGTGATAAGTTTGAGCAAACTGTAAAGACCATGAATTGTTTACAAGCTTCAGTGCTTGTGTTAAAAAGACTCGGGAGATAGAGTGGGATACCATATTTGATCTAGCCCTTTTAAGTAATATGATTGTTATATTGTAAATTATGTAATGGGGAGGTGCCATTTATGATGGAAGAAAAGTGCACAATGTGGAGAGTACAGATATTTGTTAGGTGTCGTTTGTGGAGAGTGCAGTTTGTGGGTTAGCAAGCACTTCCAGTATGTCATAAAAACTGGCTGCAGAAGTCAATGACCTAAATAAAGAGAGTTATATATGCAGTGAGGTCACAGTAGGGTCTGAATCATTCTCTGTTTCTTGCCCAGTGTTTTTAATTTTCGATTTTTCGGGCATGTTACTGGTAATGGATATTCTCCCTTTCATTCAAGCCAGGTGTCAGATTATGACATCCATGGATTACACAAGTTCTGCAATGGAAAATCCATTACCATTACACTAGGGCTCAAGATAGAGTCCAGTGGCAGGCTTTTGTGAAGGTGGGTTCCTTAAAGAAAGTGGGTTATTCTTTGACAAGCCGAGTAACAATCGACTTTTCAAAGAATATTCTGTGTCATTGAGTGAGTGACCTTTAGACCAGTTCTTTATTTAAAATACAATTGATACATGAAAAGATCAGTTGCAACTCAACTGTATCACAGAAGTATATACATATTGGTTGATTACCTGGCTAGCAAATACAATAAAAGGAAACTTTGTATGTAAACATAAGTATACGTTTAATACTGAACTTAAGCTAATTTTAATTGGGAGTTGAAATTTTTCATCACCACCTTGGACGGCATTTGGGCTTCAATCAGGCCTGCTGACAGTCAGGGTGGACATTTGTGTTTTGTTGCATGGTACAGAATGTGCTTTTCAATCTGTATGTGACAAATCACTATAAATGAAATCTTTTGTTTTACAAGGTAAAGTTATCCTGAAGCTTATTTGCCAAATACAAATAAAACTATAGTTCAGGGCTACCGAGAACATATTAATACTTTTATCAGGTAAGGAAATATGTGTGACAGTGAAAGATATTATTATAAATAATTCAGACATGTCAAACAGAAAAAGGATTGACTTCTGTGAAATCAAATATGTCTGACAGAATAAAATACTAGGCTGTCAGTCATTGTTAAACTCAATTAGATTTATAATACAGTATAATTGACCTTAAAATGAAGTTCTCATTCATAACAAACGTTTTGAAAAACTGTCACATACTAACCAAAAAAAATCAGTCTTGAGGGGTGACTCAACAAGTTGACGATGCCATCACTACTGACCCAAGGGCTCTATAAAGGAAAGCCTTCTTGCAGGAACACCCTGAAAAAAGAAAGGATAAAAATATACAATAGTATTTGGGCATAGGTTATCTGATGTTTGAATTGTCTGTGGCACTGTACGTCCTGCAACATAAGAGGGGCCTTGCTATAGAATTGGGAAGCTGGAAGTGTGGATGCATCTTCATAAGTTACCTTTCTCTAAATCTTGAATGTCATGAGATTTTTTATTGCAATATGTATATAAAATGAGCCAGTGTAGCTCAGTCAGTATAGTGACTGGCTATGAACTGGACAACCGGGGTTCGATTCCTGACGGAGCAGAGGATTTTTCCTGTAGACTGCATCCAGATCGGCTCTGGGTCCCACCCAGCCTCCTATCCAGTGGGTGCCAGGGTCCTTTCCTGGGGGTGAAGCATGGCCGGGGCATGATGCTGACTACTCACCCCCATCTATGCTGAGGTCAAGAATGAGTAGGAGCTATACCCCTCCCCCCCCAAGCACCTACATGGCGAATAGTGGGACAGCTTAACTTAAATGTTATTTTCAAACATAGTGATATTTTTTTCACAAGTCATTAAGCTTTTCAATATGGTTGTCATAAAGTAGTAAAAATAAAGATGTGTAATGAGTATGTTAGATGACAGAATGAAATCAGTCACAACAAATTTGTGATTAATTTTAACTATTTATATTCATGAATTTGTTTCACTCTTTATTGGCCTAAGTTTGAATTTTATTTCTGGTTCCTGCCTTCAATATGTTTTGTGTGCATAACAATAGAAGAAAACACTGGGCTAAGGAAGCATTGTAGTGTCGAAGTATTCATGTTCAGTTAGCTGAACACATGCTGCCATCTTAATTGATGTAACATCTGGCATCAAGATTCAGTATTGTGTTTGTTTCTTTGTTTGCTTGTGGATTCTGTATAATGTGATTTATAATTTCTGAGGGCTGTGGAGGTAAGCAATAATAGATTATATTTGTTTAAATCAAACTGGTTATTACCCATAGTTAAAATACTGGAAGAAACATAAAAAAATAATTATAGTATATTTTATAGATAGCAGGTATATCTGGTGTCTGGTCTTATATTTTTTTCAGTAACAATTCAAGGTGGAAGAAAGAGAGGGAAGCAGATAAAAGAATTGGAGGTATTTTCACCTCATAATGAAGATGGTAAATAATTGAATTTGGGTTGAAACTTTATAACTAAATACAGTAACTGTTTGGCTATTGCTGTATTTTCTTTTACTTTTATTTAGTATGGGCTCTTCGCCATATTTCTGCATGCAAGATCTGTTATGTGGTCTGAAGTTTTCTTCAAGTGTTACTTTCTTATAACTGAATTATATTGATCAACATTTGGAATTATTAAATAATAATCCATGGCGTAACAGCCCTCTGAGAGCCAAAGCCGACTAGCTGCAGGAATTACAGAAAACTTTCACCATCTGCATTAATTCCTACAGACCAATAGTATTTGCACTTTTCACATATATTTACCAACTGAAATTTAGTTTATGGGTAATGCCATATAAAAGATATAAATTTTAACATGACACTGCTCTGTAGATATTATGCATATACACATGTATCTGTGTGTGTATGGGTTTGTTTTTGCTGAGTATTTAATGACATTTCACTTCTCCCTATTGCCAAGATCTAGAATGCACACAGTTTTCCTGAACTTCAGAGTTTGCTTAGCATAAAATCACTTTACTTCTAACAAGGACATTATTCTTACTTACTAATGTAAATTTCATGTCAAGTGCTTTGTTATACAATCAGTGTTCATAATAACTAATTTACCTTTGGTCCTTTCTGTATTTAATAAAAAGTTTATTCTTGTGCATAGTCCAATCCAGTATCATACCCACACAGTGGCAAATCTTATTATGAAAAAAGTCATCATTGAAAACTGTACTTACTATGAACTCACCTGTCTTGCACTGGGTTTTTGAGGGAGGAAAAGACGTTGAAGATGACTGTCTTGTGGGTTGTAGTGTGTGGTCTTGTAGAAGTGACCAATGTTTCAGAAATACTTACTGCCACCATCAAGGCACAACATCCCAGAAGACAGTTATCTCCATGCTTGCCATCAAGAGAATCTGAAATCTTACTAAGACTGTTCTTTCTTTGGCACGGTTTTATTATTTATAAAACTAAATGTTTTTAATACTTTGAGTATTTTAATACCTAGCTGCATATCACACAGATATAATACAAAGACATTTAAGATTTTATATATTTTAAATGTATTCCATTTTTACAACCATGGTCATACCTACTAGAGATGACAAATCTGATACAAAAACTGGTGCTGACTGGATGTATGACGTAACATTACACGTAGCAAAACACTGTTTAGTGAAGCTGACTTTATTCTTACAACATGTCCAAATAAAACATTAATAAAATGTTATTTACATTTCCAGATGAAGTATAATGTTGGTATCCAAGTCAAAGACCAAACCCTGTTATTGATATGCAAGATTAATCTTTCTCAAAATCACATACTCTGGTTTACAGCTGATATCAGTTATGGGTATTTTATGAGTGTGGGACATAGATATAAACAAGCTGTAATCTGGACATTTCAACTACATCCTCGACGCTACCCTATGTGGTAGACAGATTTTAATTACACACCCACAATAGTGAAAATATGAGAAAATGTTTATATATTCAAGTAAATTGTATTTGCTAATACTAACAAAATTCAACATTTCTCTTAATACAATGTTATGGTGCCCAAAATGGTTATTTGGTCTGAGGTTTCCTAGAAGTGAATGGTAATGATAGGTATTCATGACACATTTTTCTCTTCTGATGATGTGACTGTCCCCTCCCCCAAAAGTCCTGGTTTCAAAATGTGTGGAACTCCCCCATATGTCTGCATAGTAGGGTACTAATATGTTGTCTCACCCAAAAATGATCCTGATATAAGCAGAAGGGTGGAAAACTCAGCCACACCACATGATTGATAGGAACTCAAATGTGCTACACATTTTTAAGTTTTTGCAACACTACCTTGTATTCTTGTCAACTGATAATATGTGTTTTGTCCAGGATGTTTAAAATTAATTCATGGGAGAATTGATAAATTCTTGAAAAACATTGAAAATTTAATGAAATGATCTGTAAAATCCCCAGGTCAATATATGAAAGAGAATTGATCATTAAATAATGGTAGTATTTCTTGTACATGTACAGCAGGTTGACATAAGCATACAAGTCTCCTTCCATTTGTGTGGTGGGCCTTTCCTCTTTGTTTATATCCGGATCATTCTTGAGTAAAGAGAGAATAGTTATAACAGGGACATCTTTGCCTTTATTGTTACCCTAACCTTAAACATATGCTTAAAAACTAATAAGCCACACAACCTATATATTATACACACAATGATATTTTATGGGTCAACTTTAAGAGTTGAGGTTAATTAAAAGTTTTTTGTAATTTGAAACAGTATTAAGATGTGTTTATTTCCATCAATCTACTCCAGAACTTATTTCCTTCTAATGCTTTGTTCCATATACAGTTTTTAAGATGCTCACCAATAATTACATATTATTTAAAAACACTTTCACCATTCCAACTTTAAAACTCAATTACTAAATTAGTTCTGACTAAGAGAGCTGGAAAATACGATTCTTTAATATGACAAAAAAGTAAACACTTTGATTTGGATACCAGGCACATAAACACTAGAACAGCAATGGAAGTCATTTGAGAGAAAATATATTTTTATTTTAACAAATTTCTGTGTGTCATGAAATTATAGAGAAATTCACCTCAGTCTACTTTATTGAAAATTATAAGGAACTGAATTACAACTGTTAATATCAAAGTTAAATTCAAAATAATTGTTTTACTCTTATCAGTTTTATACTTTTTAAATGAACTGTAAACTAATACAGCGAATTTTACAATGTATAGGCACTCTGTACTCTTCATGTAATAAACTGGTATTTGGTCACTTAAGTATGGTTGCATATTCTTAATATGCAGTAAAAACTTAGAAAGAAAATTAAAATTCTGGCTAAAGTGTACTAGTATTCACCACTGAACAATATAGAATTTCACACTACACATATGGAGGGCGTTGATTAACAAAAATCAGTTCCAAGTCTGCAACCTCTCATTGGGTTGGAACTTTAAAAAAAAAATATTCATAATATCTCGCTAAGAAAATAGTCTAAATTGCAGTAAGCAAATGAAGACATATATCTGACCTCTGGAAGAACATTTCTCTAAAGATAAAAGATTTGTAGACATCACTGACGATTGTTATTTACAGGAATTCAAACGCATGATATTAAGGCTTGCATTTACATTTTTGTTTCTTTAATTAAAAAAAGCTAGCTTTTTTAACATGTGGAATCAGCTCATCACAGAAACAGTTTTCTAATCACTGTTAAAGATGAGTGGAACTTGCTTTACCTGTATCTTATATGATTCACTAGACGTTTTATTCTCTGTTTTGAATGGAAAATGACAGGCCAAAGTAATTAACAAATGTATACAGCCTATTAAATATAAATATGAAATAAATTGCAATGTATGGTCAACTGAACTACTCATAAGCTGTAACACATGGTTGAGAAAGGTTAAGTGCTACACACACACACACACACACAATAATTTTTCCACTTGGTTATGGACTATAGTTGCATTCAAACAACATAAATTACAATTGTTAATTTTTGTCTTCATGGTCAACAGTGTTTTGAAGGAACATTCTGCCTTCATATTCAAGGTCCATATAGACCTTGAAGATTCAGAACACTGTTCATTTGTTAGGTACATTTGCAGCAGTGAATTACTTTTCATAGAGTTCAGTAAATGTCCATATAAAATAAAACTATGCTGTTAACCTGTTTGTGAAGAACAGTAAGCTGTCTCACATGGAACCTCCAGACTTAGAATATTTCAGGGGATTTCCAATGTATGACAGAGGGAATGTTCAGGCATGACCAATATCTTACTTTAATTGTTCTATTGGTTAAGGGGAGGACCAAAACTTGGGATTTGGTATGCAATGAGAATATGATGATAAGGCATTTCTTTAACAATAAATATAAGTGTAGCCATACTTTCACTTTTGTACTCAGCCCTACACAAGTTTCTTTCATTTTTTATGTTTTTATACTGCACTCACTCAGTTCCTGTGCAGAGTCATCTACAGAACAGTCAATGAAATTCTGAAAAATCATTTCTTTGTTCTTTGCAACCAATTTCTAATATTGCAGTGAAGTTAAGAATTGAGGAAGGAACCAAACCAATATATGGGTGACTCTTGTTATATGCACTTTTGCTATCAAGTTTTTTGCATGTCTGTGGTTTTATTTCAGTATCATATCCTATCTGTGGCCACGGTCGAAGTGCCACACAGGTCCTCTGAATTGTGCTCGCAGATTCACTGACTTGTCCCAACATTCTGACTCTGGGGACTACGGATTAAGGCCTCTTATGGTGGATCACTCAGGAAATCCATAGGTGTGTAATATGATTCCCATTTTACACATTCTCAATATACATGGTGAGTTGCAAGAGTCACCTGTGCTGTAATTACATTGCTGTTAAAACACTCTTTTAAAATAGAAGTTTTATCAGTTTTGATAATTAATATAAAAACAAGATAAATCAAGTCATTAAGTAACTAGTTTCTCTACATATAATATATGGTTAATATATTTTATAACACACTATTTCTTTATAATGTTTTTTACTCTTAATAAAACACATTATTTACACTTCTCTTTTAAGAGAAAATATTTATAAATAAGTTCTTCAGGTATGTTTGCACCTTAGTTATACAATACTTTGGGGGGGATCAGGTTCTTTTATGAAAAAATAGTGGAAACACTTGACATGGAGAAATGTAGGAAGCAATCATAATTTATAAATCTACTATAAAACTATTTAGTTACTTAGTAAGAAAACAGATACTGATTAATATACACAGATTAACGTGCTCAGACTGTGGTCAACTTTGTTGTATAAAATCTTACATACCATGACCATGGCACATGCTATACTGTTACAATTGACTAGATCCTTTTAGGATTGAAAAGAAGCAGAAATGTCATGTTTTATTAAAGGGGTGAGATGATATTAGCCTGTATAACAGAATAATAGACTCATGGTATTTCTCATTTTATATATATATGTCATTTACATCTGCCACATGAGAAAATTTTGTCCCATTTGACAGAGGTTAAGTGTTGTTTATTATTTTATGTGTATCTTTAACTCTTCCAATATAACACTTCCATTGATTAAGGCCGGGCGCAAACGGAGCCACTAGTGGCTAAACACGACCACTAGTGGCCGCCACTTGTGGCTAAACACGACCACTAGCGGAATAAACAGTGGTCGGAGGCAGCCACAAGTAGCGAGACACGGCCACTACCGCAGCGAGTGGCCCGGTCGGGCCACTACGAACGCCGTGTCTGCGCTGAGTCTATTAAAACTCCGTACAAAATACAGACCGCAGCTTGTGGCGGCCACAAGTGGCTGTGGCTAGTGGCTCCATTTGCGCCCGGCCTAATACTATCTTTTCTTTTGGGTTCAAATAGTCATCACAGGATGAACAGACTTGACATTAATTTCAAACTATAAGTGCAGGTTTCACCCTGAACAGCTTTCCATTCTGATACTCCTACTCTTCTTTGCACAACAATTACTGATAACTGAATAACATTTAAAAATATATTAAAACTAGGAAACAGCACATTGCTATGTTCAACAATAATGAACATCATCTGATTTATTAATTTTAAGAACTGATATCATTTTTATCTACCATTCTGAGAATTTGAAGAGAAAACAAAAAATTTCACTGTAAGTGTTCTTAAAAGGATGAATGATTAGATTTAGACCTGTACCTCTTCATCTATGCATAAATTCATTAGTTATACATTCAGTAAAAAATTCTTAACACTCTACTGCCATGTGGGAAATTTCTCCATAAGTAAGATTTAAATGCTGCAAGATGAAGGTTGAGTGTGCAATAATTATTAGTATAATACTTATAACAGTGTAGGAATTAATAACTAACAGTCTCTTGTCTTAAATGTTTTTTAAAACATGAAAAAGAACATTAATTTTGAATACATTACAAAGAAACACATGATACAATACATCTTTAGTCATTATTATGTTCTTGGAATTTTAAATAAAAGTTACATTCCTTCAAACATACTAAGCATGTTATTAAAAAAGTCAATAAAACACTTCATTATAAAGTTCAGTAAAGAAACATAAAATTATTTACAGTATAACTAATGTCCTTAGTGCTGCTGTATCCATATTCTGTACCAGAAGTAGGTGCAACAGAGGTTGGGGGTTCCCTTACTCTTTAAATTTCACAGTGCTTTAAACTTCTGTTCAAGGGTGACATTTCTCTTTGAAAAATATCAATCAAAATCTGTTTAATTGTGTCTGTACTAATTAATTAAGATTAGCATTTATCTTCTAAACAGGTCTGTGTTTTCAGTTGTTGGGAAATCCATTGATTTGTAATCCTAAACAGAGAGAAACAAAGCACTAATTTTAGTATTTTACTACAAACATACCAATAAATGACATGCAGCTAAATAGATTAGACTCAAATCTAAAACTGGATTCAGATTGTTGCATGCCAGGAAAATTGACTAGATTACTACAATGTTTCTAGTAGTTCGGGCCGTCCCCAACAATGCAGGCAGTCTAAATGGCTTACCTAGGGGGAGGGGAACATGTAACTTTATGCTCATGAAGGAATTTTGATTTGATGAAATAACCATAAGACGCAATTTTTAATGACTGCCATCAGCTAATGGTCACTGTCAAAATATGGGTAACAGTGTGGAACATGGTTTGAATTCCCTTTAGCTGATCTGACCTAATTAGAAAAGAATCATGGGAACGAAAACAGCCTCAGCATATGGCATGGCACTGGCAAGAAATTTCTGCCCCAATCAAAACTGAAATTCATGGCACAGTGGTCTGCTGAGTACATTATCACTCATTTATATTGTTTATATCTTGTTATAAACTCTGTAATTACAGACTTAATTCTGAAATGGTCTAATAATTATTGTTTATGCTGAACAAAATAATGAAGTCAGAGAACTGCTGTATATGCATTTTTACTGTGGTGGAAGAAATGTAGCATTACAGAAGTTCTGGTTTTTAAAAACTTTAAGCATGCATGTGTTAGGACACAGGAAATGAAAAGATTTTGTTTTGCTGTGGAATTCACTTAACCGTTCTTCTGGAAGCTCTTTAATAATTGATGATCAAAAGATTGCCTTCAATGTACCTTTCAGATGAAGTTCTTGTAGTCGATGTGTGATTATATTAATAATTTCAGGGGGCTGAGTAGTAACATATGATAAGGTAACAACTGGTAAAAGTTTTACAGAATATCAGGTAAGTATTATAGTGATTTTACACCTGAAGAAGATAATGAAAAAAGAGATTTCTTGGTAATATCTGTTCCATTTTATTATGTTAGAATGTGAGTGTTTGTGATGCAGGTTGTAAGGAATTCGTATAAAAGAAAGAAAGGGAATATGGAGGTTATATAATATATTTTATGAAAATGATAAACACTATTGAAAAGAATTATGTATTATAATTATTACTATTAAATAATAAATAAATATTTACACATTTATGTATCAGAATTGGCTGAAAGAAAAGATTGTCAGGCACTGAGAAATAAGAGGGAGAAAAAGGAACTGTAGGACTTGATTTAAAAACATTCAACTGGGACACTTTATAAATGTAATTGTGAGAGTTCACAGTGTATAAAACTGCAGTGCAGTAACTGAAGTGAATGTATCCATACTGAGAAAGATAGAGATCCTATGTAAAATTCCCAAAAAAAGTGCATTATGTGCTAGTGATGGAAGTTGGGAGTGATGTTAGTGGTGAGAAAAATTACAGTTATAGTACACAGTTTCAGTAATTAAAGCACAGTCATTCCACCATATTCCACTAAAGACTATTCCAAAGATGTGATTAACTGTAGATTTAAACAGGATAAAACAGCATCTAAAATAATGTTAGTAAGAAGTAAACCAAGAATGGTTAATATGTACAGTAATCAAAAGTTATATCTCTTGTTCTTAAAAGCCTTTCTAGCTTACATAGTTCAAAAGAATTTCATAGTCTTTCTCAGTTCCATACAGTACTTCCACTCAAATGCTTACTAACTGTTAATATTTTTTAAATATTGTTCATGTACTCCCTTAAGTCTCAGAATAAAATTGTGGGCAGTAATGCTACAGAATTAGACACAGATGTAACAGTTTCATTTTATGATTATTTACAAGATTGGTAGCAGCTGTGTAAACATGATACAAAAATTTGTAACCTACCCGATGCATGTTGCGGTGATCCATGCCTTCTTCCAGCAATTCTACTTCCCAGTCTTCCCCATCCTCTGTTGGGTCAAAATTATACAGTGGCATCAGGTGGTGGCGTAGACGATCTAAGCGCTTCTTTCGTATGATGAAGTATACCTGCACCCAACAAGTGACACTATGAAAAGTCATATGGAGTCCATGGAGTAGTCTTCCTCGAGAAGCTGATAGTCATTCAGATATTCATAAAATTACCCACATGATATTGAACCTGAAGGTTATGATGCTGGTCGTCTGGATAATAATGCCATGTGGATTTGTAGGTTCATACCGGTGTTACTCCAAAACAGTGGTATCTACCCACAAGTTCACACAGCATTACTACCCAGACCAACTTGAAATATTTTCTGCCACGAGAACCTCAGATCTCAAACCTGAAGGTTCATTAATTTGTTCACAAGTGCTTGTCACCAGCCTGAGAAGAGTTTGTTGAAAAAAACTAGTGAAAGTAATAGCCAATGAGAGGGAATGAACCCTGGGCCTTGTGAATATGAAGTAGCATTGGTAATTCCTATGCAGCACCAGTTTGAATGTTGTCATTACTTGACAAACTTTGTGATGCTCTTTCAGAAGGGCATTGGATATCCTATTTTCACCTTCATTAAAGTATAGTACTATGTTACACTGAAGTATACTAATGACACAGTAGTTATTTAGTTCCCCAGAGAGCAGTGTGGTATATCAGTAATGATCTAGACTTATATTCTGAGGTAACAGAGTTTGAATCTTTGCAATATTACCAGATCTCCAACTGACTGTAACATGCTTTTCCTTATTCTCTTCAGATAAGTTCTGAGATAGTACCTTGAACACCTCATAAATCCTTTGCTATTCATCATTCATAATCATTTATCTGTTTAATTTAATTCTACATAACCTCTGAAAATGAAACAGCATCATTTACCTAAGAATCAATAAAAACAAATTACCATAACTGCTAGCAAGCAGAGGAGAATGAAGATACCCAAAGGAATGATTATGTATTGCATTCCTTGTGATTCATCTACACTGACAGTAGGTACAGAAGGCATGTTTGTAGCATTCACATCATCTGTGGATTGTAGAGGCGAAAGAGATGTTGGGACTCCAGTTGAAGAGGTTAGTATCATAGTAAAATTAAGTACTACATCACTCATTGCCACCATGGTATGACTAGCTGCAACAACAGCAGCAACAATAACAACAATAAATGAAAAAATGACGTCCTAACTTTATATTTTTAATATGAATTGAATGAATGGCTCCTTAGTTTTTAGTTGGCTCACTGAATAATTCAATACTCAGCTCTAAGAAATACAAATAATATTCCATGCAGCTGTACTTGACTCTGGCTACAGCCCCCATGCCAAAAGGATATCTTAAGTTAATGCTATACTGATGACTATAAATGATGTGCTATTAAGAAATCATCACTATCACTTTAAGAAAATGAAATTTTTACATCATATAAGTGTATAGCTGAACTTGAATGTCTATTAAAATCCATTACCAAGAACCAATAGTTCATCAAATTTGCACCAACCAGTACAGTTCAAATGCCACTTCTGAACAGCAGTAACCATGAATGAGTCTCACTTAACAACTATGCTAACAGAGACAATTACATTCTGTGAAGGAGTTGAGATATCTGCATCTAGCCACAACTTTTTATTGATTATTGAGCAACTAACATTAAGCATAACAGCTATATGCTAAATAAATTTATGATAAAAACTACCATCAGCAAAAATAATTAGTTCATGTCACACATGTACATCTATATGTGAAATAAGTTCTGTACTTGTATTATGACATATTCAACATCCTTTGGTTTAGCCTAAAGAAGGATCTATGGAATGTAAAGAAACTCACAACTCTCCAGAAGCACTATAACTATCACTTACTAGGACAGTGATATGTAAGAAATGTTTAATTTGTCATTGATTTTGCACACAATTACAAAATATACATAGGCTGACAAATTCTGAAGCTATATGGCATTAAACTGTGGATAACTTTCCAAATGTACATCAGAATTATTCAATAATTACAAACATATCAAAACATCCTGAGTACCCAGAGAAAATTTTCTGTTTCACATTTCTTTGTTAGGATGAATTTATAACCTAACTTCTCAGTAAATTTGGTTTGTTACATAAATATATTATGGATAAAGAGGAACCCTCAAAATGAAATGATTGTAGTAAATATGTGGAGATAATAATATGGCTCCCACCTCTGTGTGGACCTCTCATATTGAAGGAGAAAGCAGTTTAAGATTCAAACTAGTAACAAAATCTTGTCAGCCATGTCTTGATACATTACTTGTCCATAACTGACAATCATAAAACAGAACTAAATAACAACCATTAGTAGTTATGAGGGAATGCAAACAATTACAATCATTTGCCAAGGTGATATGGCATTGTACGTGTATACTCAGAAGGACAAAACAGGTTGTGCATAATGTAACATCCCACAGCTGAGATAAACTTTCAAGCTCAGTATGTTCTTAGTCATCCATCTGTAGTACAATACAGTACTCAAACATGTTATTTATTAGGTGAAAAGTAATTTTCACAAGATGGGCATAAATAAAGGGCCACATTTTTAGATGTCACAGAAATAAGAACTGAAAAAATGCATACCAATCGAAAGTATGATTCTCACACACTACTACAGAATAAAATTACAGTACTACATATTCTTCACTGGCTTGTGAGGAATTTATAGGTTAATATTCCACTTATTTATACAATTGCCCAATAAATGGGAACGGCATTCTTCATACCACACATAACATTAGTCACTGAGAACCTACTAGCTAAAATAACAAATTATTAATACCTGTATTTCATTATAAACTGAGTAATGGCTAGATTTTATTTCAGAACTATTTGTTTACTCATTTTTAACCACCATTATTTATACTGCTTTGCTCATATTATTTCCGCCAGATAGGATCACAATCGTATTGCAGAGGATTGAATAAAGGTCGGGGAAGTTAGGCAGTGTCCTTTAAAGCGAAAATATTGTAAGTTTCACAAATTTAATTATAAAAATTGTAACTTCTCTGTGCCATATAGGCGTACGTCTTCACAGCGTGTGAGAGTAAATGTAAATGATCATTATGGATTGAATATCTGTAAATTTACAAGCAGTTTTCTGATGCAAGGTTACGCAGGGATGGGTCTTTTCTACAGTCGGCTCGACGTCATTTGTATAGAAGGCAACGAGCTATATCAGCCGTATTTTATTTGCATTGATTTGGGTGCGTACTGTACTAGTTGCGGATTAAAAAGTGATGAAGTATTCGGTTAATGTCTGAAAAAGTATTTGCACCATTGTTTTATGGTCATTAACAGTTTTTCCGCGCTGTCATATTCGATTTTGACACATGTGAACACGTCTATGAAAAATACAGTATATGTACGTGTTCGTCACATGGAGTCATATTTAGACGAATAATACAGCATTTTTATTTGTATGTAAATAGTGGAATTCGATGAAGTCAAGACATTGTTTTACAGCATATTTACGAGATGATTGGCGCATATGTTGTCAAAGTTTATGCAGTTTCACACATATTTGTACTTTGCAGAGTAGCTGACTGGTCTTTATATAATTTTCGTACAGTTTGTTCCATGTAGAGTATAGGTTTATATAAAGGGCTAATAAGAAAACTGCTTTTATATGTGTTGGTTGGTTGGGTTTGTGCCACTCTGCAACTTCCGTAGCTATCATGCACTGAGATCATGGTAAAGTGGTTAACACTCATGTTTCATATTTGTGAAGTCACTGGTTCAGATCTCATCCTAGAGACCTGATCTTTCTACTGAAGTGTTTCGTGGTTTTTCTGAGTGCCAGGATAGTACTTTATGTTAGGCCATGCCCCAATTTCATCTTTTAAATTAATCAAATAATTTGATGCTATATAGTCTGGCAGCATTATTAAATAAACCGCAGATAAAATCAAATATCATATTGTCAGCGTTGGAAATAATTTTGGCCATTGCATTTAAGTAGTCAGTGGTATTGAAATTTAAGTTCTTCACTTCACCTTAATATTGTAAACCCAAAGTGGGATTTAATAATATAGAAGAACTCTAATTTTGACTGGTATTAGGATTTATGGTTTCTGTGTTGACAGCTGTTTCGAGTTAAAGTGCAAAATACAGTTTGTATTCCATTATTATGCCATTTGACATGGTGGATTTGTATTCAACAGTCCTCCTTCCTGGCTTTGTTAGGTTTGGTAAGACCAGGTCAGCCTAGCCGAAATTAGATTAGGGGAACTTGTGCACAATTTTAGAATTGTAGTAGCCTTCAAAGTCCATATCTGGTTGCATGTGTAAATGGTAATGGTAATGTTACCAGTTTCTAAGCACCAAGCCATGAAGGTATGTAGTGAGTATGGATATAAGCTCTGCACATTGTTGGTCTTGGTGGAGGTTTGGGGGTCTTGGTAGGCCCCATAATGAGTTTGGACATGATGGCAAAAAAAGAAAGTTGACAGTGGAACCACAATTCCGGAGAATCCGACGTAAATATGTCTCTGTATTGTAATAAAATGTAATAATTATTATATAAGATAAGTACTTGTGATATTCTAAAACGTTTTTACCAGCACAAAATTATCTAGTCTACGACACACTTCTTCTACAAGCGATTCACAGCTCAGCTCTTTCCGCAATAACGAAAGCGGTTTGTTGACGGCAGTAATGTAACACAACAGTGCCAAGTAAACAGATGACGCAACAATTAGTTTATTAGGTAACATAACAGTGCATGCAGGAGTTCATATAAAAGCTGACCATTGTTGTCAGTCCATATTTACACATTGTTGATATGGATCTTACACAACTTCGTTACACATCTTCGTTATGCTTCTTTGCCGAATGACCCTTCCGCATAGACATATTTACATCAAAAAAGGTTCATTGCCAAGAATTGAGCCCCAGTAGTCTGTCCTGTAGCCTATCATTTTACTGATTGTTCTATCTTGGTTCACATTATGCATATTTGATTTACAGTACTAATTCTTGCTCTCATTATTATAATTTTTAGTGGACAACATAGAAAAATTTCAGACAAACTCAGATGTCCACAGTATAAGTGCAAGATATATAACTTTCATATGCCAAGTACTTAACTGAGTAAATATCAACAAGACGTTTACTATACTAGAATTAAGCTATTCAGTAATCTTCCCTCCACTATAACAAGCCTGAATCTCAATATAAAAGAGTTTAAGCCAGCACTAAAAGAGTATAGAATAGAATTTATTTACATTCCATAGATCCTTCATTGGCCTAAGCCAAGTATGTAGAACAGGTCATCTACTATCTCACTCCTACTCCATAGAAGAATTGTCTCAATCATAAAACCGTAGCTATTATAAATATATGTAAGCAATGGTGGTTATGTTTTCTTGTCATCCACCAGTCACACGGGGCCGGAGCAGGTGTGTGTGTGTGTGTGTGTGTCAAGAACAGAGATGGACCTCAAAATGTTGGTCTCTTCATGTTTTAACCACTTGACGCAACTGATGGCCTGAGAGGATTTTATTGTACACAGTCATTGTGAAAGCTCAAGATCATACATTCTTGTATAATTGTTTTTGCTGTAATAATGTAGTTGACTGTAAATCACATATCTATGTAATTTATATTTGTACTAGAAACAGATATTGTATTTGTCCTGTGACATTCTTGGCATAGGCTGTATAAAATGTAAATATATTCTATTCTGTAATTTAATGGGTAATCTTTGGAACCAGGATCATCTTTTGATTGTGAAGGTTAAGTCCACAGCATGAACTAAGTGAGGAGAAAACTCTCGGTTCATTTCTTAAACATATTTTGATGCAAGTCATCTTTATGAGTTTAAGTTAGTGTGTTTATCATATTCCTCTTTATCACTGCATATTTTTCAAGAGTGTAAATAAGAAATAGTCACTTTGGTGTGCTGAGATCCAGTTTGTTCAGTATATTGATTGCATGTGACATGCCTAAAAGACACATTGCTGAGGGATGCTATAACTGCACAAAAATACCTGTGCAGCCATCTTAGTCCTGGTTAATTATTAATTTGTTTAAGTTTAATTAAATTTCTTTAAGTGAGTAGGTTATATAGTGTCATATTTATGCTGTTTCAATACTGACAATCTCAATCACATTGACTTCTATAGAACCAGTGTAAAAGTGGCAAAATAGGTACAACCATGAATAGAATGGGTGGAATCATAATGAAGGTGGTGTGTTGTGAGCTGGTCATAGCAAAATTGGAATGACACCATTATAGAAACAGAGCCAACTACAGGATACAGAAAATACAAATAATCAGCATATGTGATTTGGTCGAAACAGTAAATTGTCAACCAAACTAATGTAGGTATATTGTGTGTTTAGATTCTCACTAATGCACTAGGCACTTTCTTGGATGTGCAGAAGCATGTCTGTGAAGGTCCTTAGCAGTTTGGCTGTCCAGTGTGAAATTATAGTGGTGGTTATACTTGGTCTTGGAGGCTTGCAGCAACTTTCAGCAACATTTTGATTAATCCTCATTGATTCTTGCTTAATTTAACAGCCCTGTATCAACTGAAAAGTATATAATATTGGTTGGTGATGAATGAAATGGCAGCTGCTGTATGAAAGATCAGTCATCATTTACCAGTTGTCATCTTCATTCCTTGAAGCATCAAAGCTTTTTGTACAATCCTTGAGGTTGATTGATGACCAAGGCTTGATTTGTCTTGATGTTGTTATTCTGGGCTTTGGAACCATGTAGACTCATAGGTAGATGTCAGTGTTTTAGAGTAACATCTCCATCTTCAGGGCTGATTTGAATAATCTTGTTCAGAGTTTATTTAAAACTCTTATTGCTCACTCATAAGACTTAAGCTTGGTTGGCTATTCATAACAAGATTGTAAGAGCTTTTAGAAACAGTCATTCTCTGCAGATGGCAAAGTCTTGAAAGTTGTGAACCATGTTTTGTTGGAAGTTAGCCCATTGGCCCACCATTTAACTTTGTTTTTGCTTCAAGGGAGGAAAATAAATAACAAGTGTATGAAAATGAAGTTGTCAAAAAATACTTGATGCAGAAGAAGGATGAAGAAGTGAATGTTTTAGGATGTTTCATAATGAGGAACCTTGTGGTTTGTAAAGGGTTTTTAGTATTGTTAGGTTACAGAAATGAGGGAGGCTATTATGGGCTGGTCTGGCTGTATAATTATATTGTTTGTTACCTTTTATGTTTACTGTTGAAATAATTCTGATTTTGAACGTAAAACAGTTATATAAATTTTTCACTAACATTGGACATTTATCCACTTTACGTGAAAATGATTACCTGTAAAGCACTACCATGTGAAGCAAATGCCCTCTATGTTTGGTTCAATTGATATGATATCTCATCACTTTTCTTTCAGGAATGTTATCTTCAAGGATGTCATCCATATGGACTCTTCCAAGAGATAGTAAATAGTAACAAGTTGTAAAACATCAGTTCCCTGAACCTAGAGGCAGATTGTGAACCTTTCATCTAAGTCTCAGTTAAGCAAAAAGGTGGAGGACAGAAAAACAGGGAAAGATGATTCAACATATCAATATATTTTCCACCACTTTTCTACTAATGCATAAAATTAGTAAAAAATTAGTATTGTGAAATTATAGAAGTTTAAAATACTAAGCTTAGGTTTTGATAGAATGCTGTTTATGTGAATCTGCATCTTTAATTTATTATGAGTATTAAAATATCTAATTACATACATTTTAATTAAGTTCTGTAAATACACTG